GGGTCCAGAGATGGAGGAGGGGAAATGTTGAGATGGAAAGTAGCGTGAACACAGTGTTGCAACTGGAGCGAAGCCCTGCTGTTATGCAGCGTGTAATTTCATCAGGACTGGAGGCCTTGTGGACTTGCAGAGCAGCTGAGGAAGGGTTCAGCCTGGGAGAAGGGCTTTTGTGCCCAAGAGCAGATGACGTTTTCCCCATGTCTGGGATTGTGCTCTTGCCTTCTGGTGGGGGGGTTTGAGGGGGGGGGATAGAAATCCCAGAGCGGAAAAAGGGAGAGTTTAAATTCATTGAAGTGATGCTTATCTGAGTGTAGGTAAGGCAGATATTTATTTAAAACCAGCCATCAGAGCTGTTTGTCTTCCCTTTCACACAGACATTCCTGTGACTTCCACTCCTGTCACCGCGTCCTACCATGGCTGCATGACCGTCAAGCTGAGCAATAAGGCACTGGACTTAGATGAGGCTCTCTACAAGCACAGTGACATCACCTCACATTCCTGTCCTCCAGTCGAGGCGGGTCAGTAGGTACCACTGCAATGTGAAAGTTTTATATTCAGAAACTTTCAATGCTTTTCTTTTTTTTTAAAGATATAAATTATTAAGATCTACCGCACTGCGTGTATAGTTTCTCTTAAACACTGAAGTTATGTAGGAGCTACTGATCCTTATGTCAGATTGATTATTGAAATACTCCTTTGCTTTGAGGTTTAAAGGTTGTAATATATTTGTAAATAGTTCAGAAGACTAATATTAAATAATACAAAAGTACAGACTATACCTGAAGTGAATGTTATGTTTGTAAGGAGACAGTTTTATCTGTAATGCGGAAAACCTGGTAATATATGAGTGTGGACTGGAAGAAAAATAATAATTCTGTATTATTTTTTATTACCAAACACTGCTTTCTGATTTGCAAAATATGAGAGAATAAAATATTTACATACAAGTTTTTAATTTACCTGTACTGAGATTATTCTGTATTTTGTTATTTGGAGATAATAACTCAGGCTATGCCTGATGTGGAGATCACACTGGTGGGGGGGTGTTTGTTTGGTTGGTTTGTTTCTTTGTTTGGAGGTGGGGGTTTTTATGTGATTATTTCAGTATTATATATCTTCTGGGCTGGAGAGCAAATGGTCGCTGCTATTCTTATTGCTAGAGTTTCTCTTTCTGGTACCATAGATAGAAGACTCAGTTGTGACCTTTAGAAAAACTCTTGGTCAACAGAAAACAGAAGACAAAATTGGGTCAAAGAAGACAAGATTCAATAAGTTGAAAGCCATATGGCTCTTGTGTCAATGACTGCTGAAGCAAATGATGAGGTGTCAAGAATTGGGGAATATTATCTGGCAATGACATTTTTTTGCTGCTTATTTTTTCAGTTGGCTCATTCACTGTCAGCCTAGTGGGAGCTGAGAGGCTTGAGACTGTGAGAGTTAGCCAGGCGGAACTGCAGTGCCGTGAGAATATGTGTGGGGGAGAGGTTGTAGAGCCACAAAGTGCATTCAGCTTTTAAGCTGTCCTTGTGAAGCTGGGTTGGGCTTTGCCTGGCTTGCTTTGAGGCACTTAAATCTTGCTTGATTTGGTCCTTGCCAGATTAATGAACAGAGAAAGAAAGGTATATGCTGTGGTGGAAATCCAAATACTGGGTGGCTAAGGTTACCCCAGGCTTCAGTTAACCCCAGGTTAACATGGAAAAGGTCTAATTCTACAAGGTCTTTTATAAATTGTTCTTGGTCATTTTACATCATGTTTTGCCTAATCAAATATGGACATGACAGATCAGCCTAATAATCCACATGTGTGACAATAGCTGTGACCAAGCTGTGGAGACGTAACAGAAGAAAGGATGGAAGAGAGAGAAGACTGTCCGAACATATTTCCTGGTAAGGATCTCTGCTTTGTTTAGCAGAGAAGGGGAAGGTACTCTCTTAGCCATTAGACAGCATCAGCTCCGTATCATGACCAAATCAGTCAACAGTAATGCAGTAGGGCAGAAAAGACCAGAGCTTTTATTGCTTTCAACCAACCTACTCTTTATGCTTACAGAAGGACCTGTCAAAAGACTCTTTACACTGAGGTGTGACCAAATGCAAGTATGAAAGGATAGTTGCTCACTAGACTGTAGTAAAAGGGACAGACTTACTGGCGGAGTGTGCATGGGTAGGAAAACCCAGAAGTAGTTCTATGTTTTTCCTTTTTTTTATGGAGCAAAGGAAACCATGTTATTCCTGAGAGTGCTTTCTGTTAGAGCTGATGACTCCAGATTGACTTGTGATATGATGGAGAAAGTAAGAAACATTATTTTAGTATCTCCAGTGAGAGCTGGGAATCCTGAAGATACTGTGGTTAATAGCACTTCCACAGTGCAGCGGTTCTGTTCTCTCTGTGTTTTTCATGGTTATTTTAGTCCTTCACCAAAATACATCTCCCATCTTACTAACTTGGAGTAGCTCTAATGAAAACAGTACAAACTTGGAAGACATCTACTATTTTTCAAACCAAGTAGATGTAACTAACCCTGTTTTACTTTGTTCTTTTCAAAGGAAGCACGTTAGCAAAATAGTCTTTTGTCTGGCATTTTTGTATAATTTCTGTGGTAGTTCCCAAAAAACTACCATGTGGCATAAATGAATCACAAACATGTCTGACCTTTGTGTTAATGTAAGTGGTACTATTTATGTGACCAGAATTATTTTGGATCCTGGAAACGTGAATCCTGTGGTTCAGTATGGCACTCTGCAGTTTCACTTAGTAGTATGTGAAAAATACTATAATTCAATTTTCTAAATCAATCTAATTCAGAGCAAAAATTTCTCCAGGACTTTGCTTATGTGTGCACGTATGTGAAGATATTTTGCGTAGACCACAGTGCACCCTGACACAAAATGTGGTTTAGAAGAGAAAACCTTAATTTGTAAGCCTGGAGAATGACAGAAAAGGGGGATTCTTTTGTGTCAAGCTGGATTGTTTTTAATACAGCAAGTACCACACTGGAGGAAGAGGTAACTGCTTTTATACACCACTGAGAAGAGGAAAAAAGGGATAGGCATTCCTTCATTCCTCCTCAGTCACTGTGCTTTGGCCCAAGAGAAACACTGATTTAATTTTTGTTCTGTTAGCAGTCTAGGTGCTCAACTCAAAGGGAACAATACTGTCCTGGGCTCTGAGTCCCCAAAATGAACCCAGGTGGTTCCTCTGGTAGTATTCATAGCAAGTAAAAAGAAGTAAATTAAATAAGTTCCACTTATTTCATTATCAGGGTGACTGCTCTTGACAGCATGCATTTGCACAAGAACTAAGCATTTTGTGTAATGGTCTCCTCTCTGACTTCTCTTTCGCTCAGCCAGGTTCACATAACTCACCTTGTCACTGACGTTAACATCACTGACCCAAAACTTTGCATCTCAGTAAAACCTTAACTGAACAAAATATAGCTTTTACAGCCTATATAAATTAATCTGATCTTATGTGCATTAGTACTGAATCTGCTCCTTATACATCAAGGTACAACACATGAATTAACAGAAATTTCTGGAAAGGTGGAAAGTATTATGTAAAAGGATGATCATTCCTTGTTCTATTTTCATCTGGTCTGATGGTGTCACTTCCTTTCAAAGGAAACTGTCAAGCAGGCTGGTTTTATTTATATAGGATTTTTTAGGATTCATAATATGTAGCAGCTGCTTAAAATGTTAATGAGAAATACCTTCCTTTCCTTACTTTGCTCTTTGGCCTTTCAGGAAATTTCTATAGCTTCATTGCTGTCTAGACTGTAAGATCTATAGAGCAAGCAGCACCACCACCCTTTCTGCAGGAGCAAAATGCAGTGAAGGGATGCAGCAGGCTGATGGGTTTTCCCGCTGGTGCAGCCACTCCTGCCCTGAGATACAGCAGCCTTGTGCGTCTAGGGATGTCAGCTAATGTGATACATGGCAAGGGGTCAGGATGCACATGACAGGGACAAGACTTTGTTCCTGTCAGTGGCACTGCTACAGCTATTGCTGCTTAGCCTTGTCAACATTTTTTGTCTCAATACTATAGAAGAAAATTTTTTTTTTTTTTTAAAAAAAGAAAAAGGAATTCTGATCCTTCATCCATTCTGTTTCAGCCATTGTGAAATGCCTGGATCAGATCTTGATCAGTTTAAAAATAAATAATTAGGGTTTAACACAGAGTGGGTTTGGTTGTGGTCCTTTTTTGACTAGAAAGGAATTAATTCAAACACTACAGTGCACCTTAAATACCTGTCTGGAAATTGTATCTTTAGCACACTGACATGGTATCTTATTACACAGACCAGACTGGCACAAAGTTCCGACATAGTCCCAGTAAAATTAACCTTTCTATTTGAAACTTGGAAAAGAGAACTGTGTGATAGGATACTTTTCCCTCTGTTCTTTTGTTTCCCGTCCTTAACAAATATACACAACCTTAGCTACAGTATAAATATACACAGTCAATTTTATTGTAAAATAATTGCCACACTTTTTTTTTTTTAATTGGTACAACACTTTCACCAAGAAGGTTTATTAAATAAACACTACAAGCAAACAAACACCTGGTCTCTTCCTACCCAAAAGGATTGATTCGGAGAGCTCCCGTCTACCACTCAGACAACACAGACTAGAACCCCTGTATGTTGGTTTATCAAAGCAGAACACTACACCAGAGTGATTTCTTAATTTCTCCTCTTGAAGAAAATTCATTCTGCGGTCTGCCAAGAAGGAAACATCTCACGCTTATGGTAGCCAGAAAGCAACACTGCATTTGCCTGCAGGCAAACTGGGTGGTGACTGGTCACCCGGCTGGTGATGTGCCTGCCTTTAGGTTTCCAGGGTCCTGCTCTGCTCACAGTGAGATGCGGGTAAAAGCAGAGTGGCTGTAACACACGCTGCGGTGGGTTCCTTGGGAATCTAATGCCTGCACAGCACAGTTTCCAGAGGTTTCTTAACGACAAAATAAAAGCCTGCCAGCTACCTAAAATAAATTATTTGTTCTATGGTGCATATGGTGGAGGCTTTTCTCCAGGCAAGAAGTAAGTCGGTGTATAGAGGGCTGGAGCATTGGGGGGAAGGCCATAGCTGGAGCTGGACTGAGATGGAGGCTGAGTTTCTTCTGATAGAGAAATGTCAGTAGATGATGTTCCTGGAAAATTGCTGGCAGGCTGTGTATAGACAAAGAAAAATACCTTCTTCAGTAAAGGATTTGCAACCCCATTTGCAGCTCTGCGTTAAATGTTTGTCACGTAAGTGTTATATACTAAGCCCCATGATTAAATTTCATTGCAGCACAATGCTCGGTTTTAAAGCACCCACTTAAGTACAGCCATGACAATGTCTAGTGAAACAAGACAGATTCCATTTGTCACCCAAGTCATTTTTAATCGACATTGCGCATACAGCGAGGCAATAGAGCAGAACAGGAATTTCTGCAGGAAAAGATGCTCTGGCTTCCTGGGTGAGGCACTGCACCTGACTGGCTGATGATGTTACGTGTAGCTGCTCATTTCCAGGCATCACTGTGAAATTTAAATTATCTCAGATGTCATTAATTTCTGTTATAATACTTGCATAAACGCAAGGTCTTATTCCTGTGCCAAATGCAGACTCCTTAAGAGAAAGTTTTACACGTAGGCATGTGTCTCCCTGTAGGTCTTTCACTTTGGCTGGCTGAGCTATAATGGGGCTTTGGCTGAAAGAGGCATGAAAAATAGGTAGAGCTTAGGAAGCAGCTCATGTTCAGGAACAAGCAGTTTGTTAAAAGAATGTAGGTAGGGACTAATACTTTAGATAAAATCCTAACACTACTTTAAACCAAGTTTTTGCCAATGATTTCAAGAGGGTCAGGATTTCACTCCTCCCCTCATACACAAACACATGCCAGTCCATGGGCTTCATCAGAAGAGTTGTGCTCAGCTCCCCTCAGGTTATAGGCACCTAAAGTGCCTGGAATTTAAACAAAACAAAACAAAAAATGGTAATCATGGATCCTTTTCAAGGGAAATAAAAAAATCCGGGCAAGCAAATGCTGCTCCCTGCTGCTGCAAAAAAAAAAAAAAATAGTCACCATCCAGAAGGCCAGTTACCAGGGCTGGCACTTGGACACTGACATCCAGGGCTGGCAGACCCCATGCCATGGTGGCTGGCTTCTCCATGTGGCTCTGGGTCAGCAGGGGCTGCTGATGTGGGTCAAACCCCCATGGCGAGGAGAAGGCTGTCCTGCATTTGTACCACAGGATGACTTGGAGAGTGAGAATGGGGACATCCTGACAGGAAGGTTGATTATGCCCTTTAACTCTCCAGGAGGCAGTGTAAGTGTACTGACAGACCTGCTAGCTAGATCAGCTCCAAATGTAGTTGTTAGGGGCTTGGGTGGTTTGTTTCTTTTTTCACTTATTTGGGAGTTGTTGCTTCCCTCCCTGCTCAAACTGCCACCACTGTTTCCATCTGTCTGCCCGGAATGGCTGCCGTAATGAGTTCTCCTCTGGCAGGAATGACTGGCACAACCCCTACTGCTGTCATCACCACCAGCTCCTGCACAGCTAATCATTTACCCGACCAGTTGGCAGGCCTGTTACCAAGACTAGTTGTGACTGAACTGTACCAGTAAGGGATGAATGATTTTGTTAGCACGTGCCACAGTAAACAAAAGAAATGCTGGTTAAATCCTTGTCAAAATGCGTTCCTGTTATCACCCTTTCTTTTTGCGTTTGTGCGGACAAGGCAGCATGAGGTGAACTGAGGAGTGTTTACCACCACCTCAGCTTGTGATTTTTTTAAAGACTTTGTTTGCCCCTCCAGCAAACATTTATTCCATGAAATACCAGAAAAAAAAAGGACTAAGAATGAATCTGCTCAGCGGTGGAAGCTACAGGTGAACTCGGGTTCATTGCCTTTGAGCTAATGGAGCTTCAGTCCGTGCAAGTGGGAGCAGCGCTTAGGCTTGGTGTGTTGCATTCCAGACTAACCCAAGGTGGGATATGTTCCTAAGAGGAGGAACTAAGGTCTGGATTTCCTCTGGTTGAGGTGAGAATTCAAACTAGAGTTATTAGTTGGTAATTGATTGCTAACTGGTTTACCTCATTAACTGGCATCGATTAACTTTTTTTTTTTCCCTGGCACTCTTTGCCAGCTGCTCCAGAAAGATGTGCAAGTCTCATGTAGACCTTGGCCCACATCAGTTTGCCCTGTATGGATGTCTTGTGAACATTAGGCCATCTCAGATACCATGTCTTTACGCAAGTGAACTGCACCCCCAGGTTACAGGGTTCAGCCTCAGATTTTGATGTCTTAGTTGAAGGAGCAAGAACATAGATATCTAAGTGCACAGCATAGTGACATGTAGCAACTGAATCCCACCCCTAGTCAATGGGCCTTTAGGGTGCATTCGTATCAATCACATCATACATCTTTAGCCTGAGGTAATCGTGTAAGATGTGCCTTGCTTGCTCTGTGGACTCTAAAGGGTAGACCAGTTCAGGTGGAGTCTCCTACAGCGTGGTCAGCTAGAGCTCAATTCAGCTGCCCACATATAAGTGTCCAGTCCTTTTGGGATGCTAGGGGGTATCCCCAACATTCACACAGATGTGACATAGGGACTATAGGACCTGGACCCTCCTGGAGTGGCAGCAGGGGCCAGGTGACTACTTGATCCCATTATCAGGCAGCACTAGTTCCCTAAATACCAATAACCCCTGTGTTGAGCCAAATTAGTCCCAGCCTCAGGGCCTGTAGTTGCCTTAAGGGCCAGGACCAGCTGAGCAGGGCTTGTGAAGGCCTCAATGAAGCAGCTGGGCACTGCTTGGAGCACTTGGGTTGGTCATGAAGACCTACCTCCAGCCCCATAGATTCAGCCCACAGCTCTCAAGTAATGGAAGTGGATGATGGTTAAGCTTCTGGATGTTCCTAATCAGGTCTGCTTCTAACATTCACCACTTGTAGCTTTGAGTAAGTTTATTAAGATTTTTTAACTCATATACTGATGTAGAAATTAATTCTCTCCAAACTACAACATAATGAGCTCATATGTGCAGGAAGGCGGCTTGCTTTTTTTCTTTTTCCCAGGAAAAGGATTAAGCACTTTCCCTCCTGGCTTGGAGACAGCTGGTGCCTCTGAATGTTATGAAGGGGAGAGAAGAAAAATGAACACACTTCATAGGAAAAGTAGAAATCTAGGAAAAGAACTGTGTTTATTTTGGAATGCAGTGAAGAATTTATGGTAAATAAGATATATTTCTGTTTCTCATGGGCACAGGACTGAACAGTTATACTTGTGACTACTTACGTGCATCTTTTCAGCTTAATTGCTTTCTTTGGTCTGCTTTTATCCCTTCTCTCTCTACTCTTGGCTACGTGCTAACTGAACTCTGCAGAACAGCACAGCTTTTCTGCTAAAAGCAAACAAAAAGAGATCTCCAATTGTGTTCTTTTTTTCCTCTCAATCCGTGGTCTCCAAAAGTGCCTGGCCCCGTTTATGTTAATAAATAAGACATGCCAAGGACTGTTCTCTGGCTGTGAAGCCAACTGACACAGCACATATCACATCCCTACAGCTTAACTCTTACCAGCAAACCAGCGTCTATATGCACACTACCTACCAGGAACAGTCCATTGCTCTTGCCATCTCCTGACCCCTTCCTGGATGTTGTTGGGAGACTGTTAGGTGGTCTGGGCCAAACCTATACTAGGAACACACTAACAATTCACTGATGTCCCAGTACTTGTGCTTGGAAGCGTGTTGGCCCTGAAGAAATGTAGCCCAGGAGGTTGTGGGGAGCTGGTCCACAGCTATTTCATGCTAAACATGCAGTGTTTTCAATTAAGAAATATTGCGAAACTTGTGGTACCCACTGGTCTAGCACACAGCCAAAGTATAACAAGCCATTGGACTGAACAAAACAGCTTTACTGTGCTTTAAAAAAATCTAAAAACTCCTATGATTGCTCCAGGGTCTCAGGACATTCAGTTATTTACCAACTCACCCTATGTTCTTCACCTTACACTGGAGAAAAAGAAACAAACCAAACAAACAAATCCAAACACCATCCTCAGCACCACTCCCTGCATTTTCCAGGACAGCTCTGGCCTGGATGCAGCGCAGGCTTGGAGCACGACTTGCACCTCTTCCTTCTGAAGAAAGTGAAGCAGTGTTGACTCAGCTCATGTCGTATCCCCTCCTGCAAGGGGAGAAAGCTGCACCTCCAGGAGCTTTCCCTCCTGCCTTCAGGCCTGCTGCCTCTGGTCAGTAAGGCTCACCAACCTCTGCCCACTGACACAGGAGCTTTGTACCTGTCTCCCAGTGGTGGCCAGTAGCAAATGCTTATAGGAAGACTATAAGAAAAAATCCTCACATTAGTTCTTGTGGCAGGCAGCCATCTGGGGACTTGCTGGGCTACAAGTAACACCTGTGTTTAACCTGCCAAATCCAGTGTGTATCAGATGTGTCCTTTGGCTTCCCCAATGGCCTCTGTTGCTGCTTTATCTTGCCCAACATGAGGGCTGTGTTCACCCTCATGACTACTGTAGCACAGCTCTAATCCCACACTGGGATTCCTGGTCAGCAGAGTCCAAAGGACAACCAGAAAAAGCCTGAGATCTGAGAACTAGGCCCAGATTAAGTCATCCCAAAGGCGAGTCTGTGAGTTGGGATCCAACTTTCTTGCCTCGTTTCAAACGCCTAGGAGCCAAGATCTACCACTGTAGAGTTTGTACTGAGTAGCACCTTACGCTTTTCTGATGGAGTAAGAAGGGTGCATTTTGTACTGTACCTGAAGAGGTAATGGGTAGGATGGATATGTAGAAATAGTTGCTGCAGAAGGACAGAACCCAGCGTATGTCAGGATCTGCTGGGCAGGATTGTACAGGATCTGAGGAGGAGCGGCAGCACTGAAAGCCATTTGGGACAGAGGTACCTGCTGAGCACAGAAGACAACAATATATCAGCACATCATAGAGGGGGCTGGAGCAGGAACTACTACTAACACAAGCAACCAGGCAATTTAACAATGTTCTTTTTTCCAACACAACACCAGTACCACAAAAAAACAAGGAGCAGAGAGAATGAGAGGAGAGTGAATCCGGAGTGATATATCTGACCAGAAATACACAGCTATTTTAATCTTCTTCCCTTGGAAAAAGACTGCTGGTGCTTCCCTAGCACCAGTTACAGAAGCACTGGCAAGACTCCAGACGCGGGACACCCTGAAGAGCACAGCATACAGCTCTGACCGCCTCTTCTTATCCACTCCAGCACCAAACACCCAGTCCTTCACTCTTTGCAGCAGACTCTTTCCAATAGCAACTACCTGATGCCCTCATATCTTTTCTCTCTGCTTTCCTACACAGATCTACAAAGACCTCCCTTTCCAGACCACTTGCTCTTCTTTCACAGCTCCCTCTCACTTATGAAATGGAGTTTGCTGCTGGCTGTCCAATACCACCCCCCACGTGCATATCTCATTCCTGAAACTGCTGTGGAAAATCCTTCATCACATCCTGTGGCTTTACTGGCACGGCCCTTAACTGCAACATGAGATGACGTTTGCAGGAAGGAATAATAGCGCATATTAAACCAGCTGATACAACTGGGGGAGGGAAAACCAAAGAGCAAAAGCTAAATGTGAAAGTGGGTGTGTGTTCAACCCTAAAACCTTGTGCTATGTAACCATTTGTGAAGGACAGTAGAGCTCTGTGAAAGTTTTTCATGTCACTCTGCTTTACAAAGAGAGACAAATCCAGTGGTTTCTTTTCTCTCCTTTTTATTAGCGGATTCCTCTACATGACAGCATGGAATTTTCTTTTTACTGAAATAATAAAATACGGTGCTTTGCCAGACAAATGCTGAAAGCAGCAGCCAGAATTTTTTGTTGTTGTTGGCATTTCCTTTCAGATATAAACCACTGCACCCTCTGGAGATAGTGAGAGATCTCACTGTGACTGAGAAAGAGGTACATTAATTGTGTTTGTACATGAAAAACATCGTCTAGGTCACTGATGTACCACATGAGGTTATCTGACAATCCAGACTTTAGCTCTCTGGAGAAACTTAGCAACTCAGGAGCTGGTGCAGAGGAAGGCTGGGCTCAAAAGCAGCCTATTTCATGTGAAAAGGCGAGTCTTTCATCTTCTAGGTATCCCCCTCAAAACACCTCCCTTCTACCTGCCCTGCTGGGTGGATATGGTGGGGAGAAATGGAGAGACACTGCCTTTCAGACAGGAGTAGTCAGAAGTGGCTAAGGAGCTTGCCTCAGACCCAAAGGTTTGGGGCCAGTGACATGGCACCCCGGCTGGGGCTGGGCCCATGGCCAGAGCATGCCCTTCCTCAGAGGAGGGAGGCCCTGGCACAACCAGATCCTTCTGGCAATGGACAAAAACGTGGCAAGAATCTCTTGTTTTGCCCAACATGAAACGCAGGTGCCTGTTCTGCCTCTGTCATCAGCCTTTTGGTGTGGGTCCCTTTGGGTGCTGCTGTCCTTCCCAGGAACCTCTTGGGGACAAACTTTTTAGCAGGGCCTGTAGCAATAGGACAAGGAGAAATGGTTTTAAACTAAAAGAGGGTAGATTTTTACTAGATATAAGGAAGAATTTTTTCACAATGATGGTGGTGAAACACTGGAATGGGTTGCCCAGTGAGGTGGTAGAAGCCCCATCCCTGGAAACATTCAAGGTCAGGTTGGATGGGGCTCTGAGCAACCTGATCTAGTTGAAGATGTCCCTGCTCACTGCAGAGGGGTTGCACTGAATGACCTTGAAAGGTGCCTTCGAACCCAAACCATCCTATGATCCTATGATTCTTTCTCAGTCCTCTTACGGTTCTCTCCACCTGTAGCAGAAACTCTCCAGCTGCTAAAGATAAGCATCACAAAAGTCCTAGAAGACTGGTTTGGGGAGTCATCCACCCTAAATCCACTGATCAAAGCACCTTATTATCAGGCTATCTCGTCTCAGCCTGGAGCCAGCAATCATTTGAAGGTATTGAAGCTGGTTAGATGCTTTTATCAAGTATTCCAGTAATGACACTATGTTAAATTAGTCACATAAAATACAAAGGTAGGTGAAGACATTTTAAACTGAAACACCACCCAAGTCAAAGAGATAAGGAGTGATTAACTGGCCAGGGAGCAATGCCAGTGTCATGCAGGGTCATGGGAATCAGGGAGCTGGGGAAACCAGGCAGTGGCCAGTGGCCAGAGGGCCTGTCTGTGCTGGGCTGTGCAGCTGCAGAGCAAGGCAGGTCACCTCGCTGGTCGGCACAGACCTGCCAAAGTATTTATTTCTGAGCTACAACTACTTCGAATGTCAGACTGCACCTTTAGTTTAGTGCTAAGACATGAACGCATTGGCAAGTATTTCAGCAAGGAGGGGTTCATTTTGTTTTCCTTTCAAAGCAGGGTGAGAGGAGAGAAGATAAAGGAATGATACTTAGTCTGTTCAGATTCCTTTGAGGACTCCAAGAAGGAGACTAATTTAAAAAAAAAAAAAAAAGCCAGCAAGTCCCCCCGCCAAGGACCAGCTGTAGTTCTGATTAATACAACTCCGAACTCAGGGCAGGCAGATTCCTTGGCAAGGTGTGTCAGGAAAACATCTACAAGTCATCAAATGAATACTGGGGCAGGGAAGGGAGTTTCTAGATTAACTCTTACTACCAGCAAGTGAAGTTTTTCATGCATTTCTTTATCTCTGTATTCTGCAAGAAATAATCAGGGATTTTTACCATTTTGGATACTCCAGGTACATACTTCTATTTACACTATATCTTAACCTGCTTTTTTTTTAAAGGTGACTTTAAGGTAACTGCCTAGCCAGCGTCCTGTATCCAAGCACACAGCAGATTTGGAAAGGAGGGTACCCTTGTGACCGCTGCAGCTACCCCAGAACCCAGCAGATCACAGAGGATGGCCCCACAGGTGACACTGGGGCCATTAAGAGCTGACACCTCGGAGGTCAGGAGAGGAT